GGGATCCTTGCGCGGATCTGGGGAGCCCCCTGCAGGGTGAGAGTGGAGAAGAGGAAAAGAAGCTGCGGCTGGAAGCTTGCACCCGGGGGAGTGAGACCACAGTTATCTTGGCCGCTCCAGTCTGGAAGCGGGAGACCTTGGCGCGCACCATAGCAGGGACACTGCGGGAGGAGGCAGAGAGGGACAGCTTCCTTTTTTTCTTTCCCCTCTTATCTCTCACCTCGGACTTGGTTTTCTCTTAACAGAAAGACACTTTTCCCCTTTCCTTCTCTAGTCGCTCCACCTCCGCAGAGTTAGGGGGTGGGGGGAATACAGGAAAAGTGGTAGCTCCTTCCAACTTTGTCGTTTAGTCCCCTGAGGAGGCCCCGAGGCCCTGACCTGCGGGGGCAGCAGCCCAGTGCAGAGCCAACTCAATGGAGGCCTTTTGCAGCCAGGGTGTGGGAGATAAGTAAGACTGAGGGGGCTCCCAGGCCTGTCGGAGTTCCTCCTGAGCCTGTCCCTTGTTCTGCCCACTCTGCTGCAGGTGGCAGCCAGAGGAAAGGGCCACAGTGTTCCATGGCCAAGGAGGAGAGAAGGAATGTCCCCTTTCCAATCTCTGGGTAGGAGGAAGCCTTCAGGGCAGAAGCAAAAGGAATTCTTTCTCCTCTGGACAGGTTTTCCTAACAAAGTAACCTGAAAACTATGGCAATTAATCAGAGGAAATCCGTACCCCTCCCTCTCCCCCCACCTCCCCACTCCATACACAATTAGGTGGTGTAATGGAAAACATATAGGGCTTAGAATCAGGAGTCCTGAATTCTAGTCCCAGCCATGTCACTAATTAGTTGTGAGACTTTAAATTGCTTTTCCTCCTGGTGAAAGTCCAGTTCTCAGATGTAAAATGGGGGTGGCAGTGGGAATAGGGAGGGTTAGAGGAATGTGATCTCCAAGTTTTCTTTCAATTCTAACATTCAATATCACTGGCCAGGCTGGATGCAGTGGCTCACACCTGTAATCCCAGCACTTCGGGAGGCCAAGGTGGGAGGATCCTTTGAGCTCAGAAGTTCAAGACTAGCCTAGGCAACATAGCAAGTCCCCACCTCTACAAAAAATAAAAAATAAAAAAATCACTGGCCAGAGGCGATACTTCTCTTCCAAGGCATTGCCCACCCCACTCTAGGTTCGTTTAGTTTCAATGCTCAAAAATGGTAGTTGAATTTACCTTAATTATATAATTTCAGGGAAAGCTCCTGAGATAAGCGAAGCTTTGAAGATTTAGGAGCCCTCTGATTCTCAGGTGGGCCCATCTGTTATTCTCATTGAGGATGACTTTTTACCCCAAGATTGTCATTTAGACCCTAGGATAGCCCTAAAATAGACCCTAGAATAGACGTGTCCTTGTTCTAGGACATGTTTCCCATGCCAAAAGCAATTTCTGCTCACAGAACTTTTCTACAATCAGGTCAGGAGCCAGGCTAAGGGTAAAACCTTCTGTCTGCTGCCTTGCCAGCTCCTGGCCCCCAGCTCACCCCAGCCCTTCCTGCCTGGCTGGGTGGCTGACCCCGGGTCCACGCCTCAGCCATTTCCCGTCTCGCCTGCCGCCATCCTCCTTTCCCCGCCCTCGCTGCCTCTCCCAGCTTCACTCTCACTAGTCAGTCCTCCTCCCCTCCCCATCCCAGACTCTTCCCGTCGGGATCCCTCCTAACCACTCTGTCCAGCCAACAAGGATTTTTTCTTTTTCTTTTTTTTTCTGGGGTAGGGGGGTAGTGACAAGGGAGATCTTTAATGCTAAAGTCTCTGTAGGTGAAACTAGACTCACCGTCCTGGGCTGCCATAAGAAAACGGAGGAGCTGGCAGGGCCCTGGCGCAGGTGGGGAGAGGCCCTCCTTACCTCAGTCATCAGACGGTCGGCGCCACTGTTCTCCTCATCCTTGAAGATGATGTCGGGGTTGTAGTTGGGCACGAGGTCTCGGAAGCGCTCGGAGCCCCTTGCCACCCTTCCCTCGGCTGGCCCACTGGCGCCCAGGGTCCGCTCGGGCACGCCAGGCACAAATTGCTTGTAGAGTAGCGGCACGAGCTGCTTGCGCACATAGCGGCGCCGGCCAACCGGCCCCCGGCCCGGCCCGCAGCTCTGGGCTGGCAGCGCCAGAAGTGCCAAGCAGCACAGGGGCAGCAGGTTGGCCAGCAGAGCCATGGATACAGCAGACCTGGGCCAAAAGGGAGCGTTCTTGTCCTCACTAACTCTCCTGTCAGTTAGGCATCTCCACAGGCACCAGAGAGGGCAGCAGGCAGAGCTGCCCCCAGAGTGCCCTAGAGCTCTTGTGGTTCCGCGCACCTGCCTGCTGCCAGCTCTGCCCACGTGCCCCCGGGGGGTCTAGGACCTGCTACTGACGGACCATCATAGGAGGGAAGGGGGGTCGTGGGTGAGTGCCAGCCCAGCCCGTCTCTGCTGCAGGACTCTGGTGCTGCCAGGACGCCGGGACTCCGGACTCCGCCTTAAGTGGCCCCTGGCCCCGCCCCCCGCCCTTCTCCCAAGACCGTCCCACCCCCTCCCACCCGGGCGGGGGACCTAACCGGTCACTGCTGGTCCATTTTGCGCTGAAGTGTGTCCCATCCTAGAAACCAGGCAGACACCTGCCTAGGAAATCCTTGTAGCTTTATAGTCCTTGGTTACCTAGATAAACATCCTTCTACCTCCAAGCCTAAACTTGGAATCAAACCACCCTCCTCTGATACTTGAATTGGAATTTTTGCTCTCTCAAAGCCTACCCTGGCAGGCCATGCCCTCTCCTGTCATCCAGGAAGTATGGGTTCCAATTTCTGCTCAAGATCAGCCAAGCCCTTTGGGCATATAACCAGAGCCTCCCTTCTCTGTGGTCCTTCCCAGACCTCCCCCATTTCCATCTCTCCTCACACTCAGCAGTAACCAGGACTGGGAGGTGAGGATACCAAGGGCCCATTAACTTTACGGTTACAACTCTACAGTCTCTAGAACTCAACTAACTTTACAGTCTCCATTGGAACTCCCCCAGAACCAGGGACAGAGGTTGGTACTTAGAGTCTGGTTTAGGACTTCCAACTTTTTTCCCCTTCTCTTCTTTGCCAGCCATCTAATAGCTGCTTCTTTTCAAATGAATAACTTGTCAGTTGGAAGCTGCTGAAGGGCAGTGGACACTCAAAGTCTTCACAAGAGGTGAAGCTCATTTCCCTTAACCTTCCATCTAGGTCCCTCTCCAGCTTTCTCCCTCTCTCGACTCCCGGGACTCTATTTTCAGCCACTCAGCTCTCAGAGGCAACACATCCAATTTCTATTGTTTAGAAATCATTTCTTCTGGCCTGGTGCAGTGGCTCACGTCTGTAATCCCAGCACTTTGGGAGGCTGAGGTGGGCAGATCATGAGGTCAAGAGATTGAGACCGTCCTGGCCAACATGGTAAAACCCCTTCTCCACTAAGAATACAAAAATTAGCTGCGCATGGTGGCACATGCTTGCTACAGAGCAAGACTCCATCTCAAAAAAAAAAAAAAGAAAGAAATAATTTCTTCTAAGAAGACTTCTGTCCCAACACTGCCCACCTGTGTTCCCTCGGGAACCAGTACTTAACAGTAGTAGAACAATATTAGACTTATCTGGCACCTTACTAGATGAAGCAGTCTTAAACATGCACATATTGTAGAGTAGGCTAAGTGCCTACTCTACAGAAGGGTACTCTGCAAGTATTTGTGGAATCTGCACTTTTTCTTTCATATTCACCCTCCCCTCACCAAGTTCTATGGCTAGCACTTATAGCAACTTTGTGTACATTAGAAAAAACCAGGCCAGGAACAGTGGCTCACTCCTGTAATCCAAAAACTTTGGGAGGCTGAAGCAAAAATTGCTTGAGGCCATAAGTTCCAGACCAACCTGGTCAACGTAGTAGGACCCCGTTTCAAAAAAAAATTTTTTTTTAATTAGTAGGGGGTGGTGGTACATGCCTGTAGTCTTAGGTACTCAGGAGGCTGAGGCATGAGGATCACTTGGGTACAAGAGTTCAAGGTTGCAGTGAGCTAAGATCATGCTACTGCACTCTTGCCTGAGTGATAGTGAGACCCCCCCCCTCCAAAGAAAGATGGCTGGGTGCCATGGCTCATGATGCCATGCCCTGTAATCCCATCACTTTGGGAGGCCAAGGCAGGCGGATCACTTGAGCTCAGGAGTTCAGGACCAGCCTAGGCAACATGGCAAAACCCCATCTCTACTAAAAATACAAAAATTAGCCAGGCATGGTGGCATGCGTCTGTAGTCCTAGCTATTCTGGAGCCTGAGGTGGAAGAATGGGTTGAGCCCAGATTTCGGAGGTCTCAGTGAGCTGAGATCACACCACGGCTCTCCAGTCTGGGTGATAGAGCCAGACCTTGTCTCGAAAGAAAAGAAAAGCACCCCCCCCCCTTTTTTAATAGTCAGTCAAGATTTACAAGAAAACTATCATAGTAACTATCCATACAATGACTAAGAGGCAAATGGTGTCCCTGGAAGTTGTGCAATGCATAATCTGTATAAACCTAAGTTTTGAGCCCCTACCCCCAAAATAGCACATGGACTCCAAGAAACTGATGGCCTCTAGTAAAAAGCTAGGTTCTTCTCTCAGGTAGGAATTGAAAATCCTTGTCAGCCAGCCCCTTATTTTACTCTATATCTACCAGTTAAGCCAGGGAGAACAGGGCTGAAGGTGTGAGTGTACAGGGGGAGGTTATCCAACTCCTATGCCCATGTCCTACCCTCAATACTCAAGGTACAGAAACAAGGCCATGGATATGAGGAGGAACCAGGCGACAGGCAAGCTTTAAGCAAGGCTGAGGAAGAAGGAGTTTCCACTGCCCAAATGCACAGCCTAACACCCGATCCAAGTCCCCAGAGGATGCTAATAATATAGATGAAGGGGTAGGAAAAGGATGGTGGGCAGGACCCCTCTGCTTTTCTTACTGGGCAGACTCAGGACTAGCAGGAGCAAGCCTGTTCAAATACACACAGAGGCAGGTTCTTTAAAAAAAACAAAGCAAACCCTGCGATCAACTTTATTGCTGATGGGTAAAGCCTCCTCCTCCCTATGCCCTTGGTCTTTCTGGTGGTCCAAAGCCCCTCCAGGATAGCACAGTGCTTAGGCTCTGCTGGGCCAGAGGCAAGGGAGACAATCTACCCCCCACAAGCCTGCACTGGCCCAGTCCTTCCCCTGCCCCCTCCCACCCTATTGCACATCAGATCATGTAAACATGGCTATGGGCACAGCCCAGAACAGCAGTGAGGCAGATTGATGTGTAAACGGATTTGGGACCAGGGCCAGACCCAGTCACCCAGCCCTACCCCATGCTGAGGCCACAGTTAAGTATGGAAAAGCAGGGGGTCCTGGTCCTAAACTCTGGCTCAGATTATGCAACAGTGCAGATGGCTCAGCTCCCCTCTGCCACCCACCCTCTCAGATTCCAGGTCCTGAGGTCCAGCTACCCTTGGGCTTCCCTCCAGGCCTAGGCAACAGATGGCAGTGTCCAGTTTTCTCCCTCCCACCCCCAGCTGGAGGTCATTGGTGCTGGGTCTTCCTAGATGCCCGGGGGAAACCGGAGACAGGCAGCGGCAGTCTGTCCAGCCCTGGAGAAGAGAAGGAGATGGGCAGTCAAAAGCAGGTCAAAGGTCCAGTCCATTAGGGACCAGACAACCAAGCCACAGAATGTGTGGATGAGGTACGTTACCCACAAAGCTGGAAGCACACCCTCTTCCCTGCTGAGATGACCCATGATCCAGAGTGTCCTAGATAACTACCACCCCACTACTCCGCACCCTCTCTCCCTCTCACCAAAGGCCCGGATCAACTCCGCTCGCACAGCTGCAGTGAAGGTCTTCACCAGACAGAGTGTGGTGAGGCCTGCAAAGGCTGCGTTGTACAGGAACACAATGTAGAAATTGCCCAGCCAGTTGAACCGTCCAAAGTCACCCAGCAGGTCAAAGCGAGTGAGCCCTGAAGTACAAAGGCCAGGATGAAAGGTGGGCTCCCTAGGCCCTTTTCTGCTACCCGCCCAACTTTCTGCTGCCTCCTGGTGGCCATATCTCAACACTGCAAGTGATGGGTTGGCCTCTCCCAATTCCACCACCCAAAGCTATCTCAAGGGCAGTTCCGGACAGTTCAAAGTGTGAGCAGCTAGGCTTGCTTCAGCTTCACTTCCAGAGTCTGCCATCTTCTCCAGTGAGGGCTACTCTGGCTCCTGGTGTCCCCGGGATCTCCCAGGGCCTACTACTTGTTCCTGGGCCTGGAATAAGCAGGTCATCAACTTTTTTTTAGTAGACAGAACAGTGTGGTTGCTAAGTACTCAGACTGATCAGGCTGCTTTGGTTCATATCCCAACTCCACCCCTAATTAGCTGTGTGATCTGGGAAAATTCCTTAAATTTTCAGTGTCTCAGTTTCCTAAGAATTAAATGAGACAACACACATAAAGCACTGTCTGTGCCAGGCACTATTCTAACATTTACTGGGCCCTTCATAATAATAATATCATAAATCAAAAAACTCTGCTCCCCACCTTTAAATATTTTTACCTGCATCCAACCTAAAGGGACTAACTGGAAGACCCACAAGCCAACTTTCTTACAAATTCCCCCGGTATAACTACAAATGGCAGAGTGTAAAGAATATAACATTAAGAATGAAATAGAGCTGTTTTTTGTTTAATTTGGTTTTGTTTTGAGACAGGGTCTTGCTCTGTTGCCCAGGCTGGAGTGCAATGGCACAATCTTAGCTCCCTGCAGCCTCAAAGTCCTAGGCCCAAGCGGTCCTCTTGCCTGTCTCATATATAGCTAGGACTACAGATGTGTGCTACCACACCTAACTAAAAAAACTTTTTTTTGTAGAGATAAGGTCTCACTATGTTGCTCAAGCTGGTCTAGGACCCCTGGCCTCAAGCAATCCTCCCACCTTGGCCTACCAAAGTGCTGAGATTACAGGTTTAAGCCAACGTGCCCAGCCACTCTTGAACTTTTTAGCCAGGTAATTCTAGATACAGCTCTAAAGGCAGGAGAAGGAATGAGTGTATTATCTGACACCCCAGTGTATAGAGAAAGCACTAGCCTGGGGTTTAGGATACATTCTAGACTGACTTGACGTTGCCTCAAACTAGCTGTATAACTCTGGGTCAATCAGGTAGCTTCTCTTTATCATCTTTCAAATAGGAACATTCATTGGATTATTCATCCAGGAGAAAGACTTAGAAAAAAAGTGTGCTCCCCAACCAAAAAGTAAAGTAAATGAGAGAGGCAGTGGGATGCAGCAAATGTAGAAAGTATGTACTTTGCAGCAACACTACCCTGAAGCTCAGTGTAGGCACTTCAAAGAGCCTCACTTTCCCCAACTGTATAATGGGGATAATACCGACTCTTGGGTTTGTTGTGGGAATTAGAGAACATATCTATATGAAGTGCCTGGTGGCTGGGCGCGGTGGCTTACGCCTGTAATCCCAACACTTTGTGGGGCTGAGGCAGATGGATCACCTGAGGTCGGGAGTACAAGACCAGCCTGACCAACATGGAGAAACCCTATCTCTACTAAAAAAGTACAAAATTAGCCGGGCATGGTGGCGCACACCTGTAATCCCAGCTACTTGGGAGGCTGAAGCAGGAGAATTGCTTGAACCCAGGAGGTGGAGGTTGCGGTGAGCTGAGATAGTGCCATTGCACTCCAGCCTGGGCAACAAGAGCAAAACACTGTTTCAGAAAATAAAATAAAATAAAATGCCTGCTTTGCATCAGTAAGTACTCAAAACAATCCAGTTCCCTTATCTCCTCCTTTTGATACTTACCCAGGGTTCGAGAGAAGACAGGAAGTGCTGAGCTTAGGACCAGGAGACAGACACAGTTCCCAATTATCTGGGTGGAAGTAGGGAAAAGAGAAGTGAGGTAGAAGAGCTGTGGGCACTGAGTGCCCATCCACACCCCCAAGTGGCTTTCCCTCCTCCCTCCCAGCTACCTGTGTCATGGTGGTGTCATGCCATCTGGGCCGCAGGCTCCGGAAGAGTGGAGAGCTATAGAAGCCCACAACTGAGGACACCATTAGGTAACTGCCACTGCATTAAGGAAGAACTGGCTGGCTTCTAAAGATTAACACCTCATCTCAAGGGGAACAGAACTCTCTCCCAGCCCATCCTTTTTTTTTTTTTGAGACAGGGTCTCACTTTGTCACCCAGGCTGGAGTGCAGTGGCACAATTTCAGCTCACTGCAGCCTTGACCTTCTAGGCTCAATTCATCTTCCCATGTCAGCCTCCCGAGTAGTTGGGGATGTAAGCACGCACCACCACACCTGGCTAATTTTTTGTATTTTTTGTAGAGACCGGGTTTCACCATGTTGCTCAGGCTGGTCTTGAAATCCTAAACTCAAGCAATCCACCTGCCTTAGCCTCCCAAAGTGCTAGGATTACAGGTGTGAGCCACAGTACCCGGCCTCTTTTATTTTCTTCTGATGAGATTCTACTGAACCACCAGCCATTCTTTCAAAATTAAGTCTTTTCCTTCTTTCTGAACTGGAAGCTGATGAAGACTTGCCCCACTTCCCATCACTGTTGCTCAGAGTCCCAAAGGAGACAAAGTCCAAGAAGTGCTCTGTCTAGAGTCCCAGGAGACAGGTTTGGTGAACAGAGGTAATGATGGGTTTCCAGAAGGATACAAGATGAGTACAACCTGAATGACGGCACCAAAGGAGCCCAGCTTGGAGAAGGAGACCTGGCCTAGGGAGGCACCCTGAGGAGTGGAACAGTGCCACTGTGAGCATTCCCCACAATCAGCAAGCACTACCCAGCACCCAGCTTTCCCACTGTCCTCAGCTTCTGCCTCCTCTCCCCAGCTATTCTTAAGCCCTCCCCAAAGGATATGGTAGGAGGGCAGCCTGGTACCTGCATGCCTCGGGGCATGGCAGCCTCATCGATGAGCAGCTCCAGGATATGGATGGCCACAATGAGCACAGACAAGCCCTGTGAGAGGCAAGGTTAGACTCCCATCCCACCCCAGACCACGGCTGGACCCAGAGCTAAAGAAATGGGCAGAGACTCTGGTCCAACATTTTCAGTTTCCAAGACTAGCTCTGCTTCCAATGAGCTGTGTGGGACCGTGTCGAGGTTGTTATTAGCAACAGAGTGCCTTTGAGGACTTTATAAAATACATCCCTTCTAGGTGGAAGGATTGCAAAAAGGCAGAATAGGAAAAGGTGCCTCTCTTCAATAAGACCTATTCCTGAGTCCATGGGGGAATGGACTAAATTTCAGTGCTTATTCTCATCCCAGGGCAGACCTGCACAACTACTCCTTGGCCCTGTGTGACCTTGGGCAAGTCACTCAACTCTGTCTCTTCATCTACAAAATGGGGATTGATGTGCTCAGCATTTGTGCTCAGCATAAGCAGGACATAAAAGTAGGCACTCAGTGAAAGGCAACTATTATTGATGATAACCAGGTCCCCACATCGCCTCCCCTCTCCCTGAGAAGGCCTCAAGTACTGAGGGTCCACTCCCCACCTCTAGGGCTGGTATACCCACCGTCAGCACCAGCAAGCACAGCATGGCCAGGGGGTAGCCCAGGTTCCGCTGCCAGGCTGAAGCCTTCCGCCGCTTCTCTGTGTAGGGATGGGAAGCTGTCAGCAAGCACCGAGAACCAGGGGCTACTCTCCTTGGGGAAACCCATGTATCCCATGCCCTACTAACCCACATACCCAGCAGGACCCTCTGTGTTTGCAGAGCCAGGACCTGTCTGTGTAGCAGCTCCATGTCTAAAGGCAGCCAGCAGGAAGTAGGATCTGAGGGCAGAGAAGATGATGTTGCTCCCAAGTCCTGTAGTCTCTCCCCAGGCCAAGCCCACCACCCCAGCAGGGAAGAACTGCAACTCACTGCAGATCCTGCGGGTCAGGGCTGCCTCTTCAAAGGCTGAGCAGTACAGCTGCTCCTCCAAGTCTTCCAGGAGCTAGAGGCAGGGGAAAGGAAGAGACTAACTGTCAGAGGCTCCCTGACCCAAAGGCCCCAGGAGAACCCTGTTCTTCCCAGGGCTCCGTAGTCCCAGTCCTTCCCCAAAGCCTCATTCACCACCCTGTGGCCAGCAGCTTTGCTCAATCCCTCCCAAATGTCTTGAGTTCTGCCCTGCGTGTCTGGTGACCAGCTCTGGATGATAGGGGTACAGGATACAGGAACCAACAAAGGCTGTAGCCCTCTCCAAGTTGTGCACTATACAACCATAGAGTTATTTCATTGTTTGCTCCAGCTCTGCAGGAAGCTCACCCTGCAGGATCAAAGACCAAGGAATACCACATACCCGGGGCTTGACCAGCAGCTTCCCAGTGACCGAGAACATCCGGGCAAGACCCAGTGGAGTACACACTGTGGGGACAAGAGCCAGTTATCTGCCAGACCCTGCTCTCCACCCCTTCCCTAACATGCCCCTCCATTCCCTCTCTTTCTAGCCTGGTTAGTCTGGCCCCAGGACCCTACCCATTCCCTCCCAGACCCTGTACACTCACCCAGGAGCAGCAGAACCCCGAGGAAGGATATGCATGAGTAGAGGTAGGGGAGATAGTACTCCCAGAAGTCTAAGGATAAAAAAAGAGGCATGTCAGCTCATTTCTCCTTGCTTACTGGGGGCTGACAGGCCTCAGGGTCTAGACAAGGGCACAGCCCCACAGGGATTAGGCAAGTGATATAAATGAAGAAAGCTGGCCAGCATTAGCAGAAGAGGGAGAGGCAGGACCTATAGTAAACTGGAGATCCTAACCCCGAACAAAAGGGCACAACTGCTATTTGGCCCCCATCACCAGGAACTAATGTAGCCAGATCTTCTCCTTGTCAAGCATAGTTAGATATCTGGATATTAATGTGAAATCTCCCAATTTAAAATGTAAGTAACTGAATAATATATATTTCAAAAACCATTGCATGGGCCCAATGAAACATTTCTGCAGGTTGGATTTGGCCAGAAGTCTATCAGCCTGAAACTTCAGTCTAAGGGAAAAGGTGCCACCTTCTCCACTTTAGAGGGTTACAGTCATTCCGGGCAGGGGGACATGGGCCAAATGAAGACCCACACAGCCTGGAGAAAGCTGGGCTGCTCACCATAGAGTGACTCTCTGCTGGCCTTGTTGTTGTCCACAATGGCTAATGCCACCCACACCATACCCAGCACCAGCAGCGTGAGGAGCATCAACATCACAACCGTCTCATAGACCCGGCCCAGGACACCCTATGGGAGGAGGCAATAGGTAAAGGGGAAAAGGAGGTTAACATCAGGGCAGCGGATGTTAAGGGGAAGGAAAGACATTGGAGATGGTGGCTAGCCTGTGGGAACCAGAGATCTGGATTCAGGAGATGAGAGATGGTTTTCCTCTTACTCTGCTGTTGCTCTGTCTTCCCACTCCCCAGTTAAGGTCACCCCACATACTAGGTGTTCTTCATTTGTATCTCCTTTCCCCAGACCCATTCCTTGTCATTGTCTGTGGGAGGCTGACCTCTGAGGTCTGCATCCCACAAGCTCTTTGCCCTCTGGTTTGGCATCCAGCAGGAGAATGGAATGTAGAAAAGAGGTAAGGGTATGTTTCCTGTGCTTCCTCCCACCTTTGCCACCATGGTTTTGGTAGTGACTATCACTAAGATAACAGCTCCTCTCTGGGTAGCTTCACATCCCTGGCTTCAGCTATTGGGAGGTTCTAGAAACCCTTTCCTCCCTTTGTCCCTAGAGGCCTAAAAGTGGAAATAACTTCCTGCTGTCACTAGAGCCTCAAACTTCCTTTAACTAAATCTCTGCAAATAGCCTCTTTATTAAAATCTCTTCAGTTGAACTATGTGAGGGGAATTCCATTTCCTGCCTGGATACATATCCCTACTTACCTTTCTGGAGCCAGCAAAGCCCTCGGACTCAGTGAAGAAATATGCAAAGGGCATGAGGAAGATGAGGGACAGGTTGGAGAAGAGAAAAACGAGGTTCCAGAGGCCTAGAGCAAAAAAGGAAAAGCAGAGGTGGTCAGTAAGGGGAGGGGCAACCCATAGGAGATTGATCATTTGCAGGAGAAACAGGGAGGGAACATATGACTGATTGACCCAGGACTGCCTGAGTCTATCTGCTCTCTGCTCCCTATCCCCACCCCAAGCCACCTCCAGGAGCCACACACCATGGATGAGGGAGCCGTTGAGCCACTGGATGTAGTAGTTCCGAGGCAGGGAGAGCAGCACCTCATTGCTGATGATGGAGAAGGGCAGGAGCAGGACAGCACCCAGGGCAACTGCCAGGGTAAAGGTGCACAGCTCAAGCCTGGGCAGAGAAGGGGAGAGTGTCCTTGCTTAGCTCAGGACTCACTACCCTGTGCTGGAGAAGATACTAATATCACATTAATATCCAGATATCTAGATTTTAATAAAGAGGCTATTTGTCCTGAGGGCAACTGTGGCTTTGAGAACCAGCTGTAGCAATGACAGAGCGAGGGAAGGGGCTGTCCAGCTGGGGTTCTACTCACTGCTGCCCCGCCCTAGTCCTTTACCTCCAGGTAAGCCGGAGCACATGGGATGGGCACAGCCTCAGGCATTCATGGGAACCTGATCACCTGCCATGACACATGCCCAGGCTGTCCCAGGAATGTAGTCCTCCTATACATGCCTGTAGGTTATGCCAGGTATGATTCCAAAGCTAGGGGGCCTGGCTTCTCTTCCTTGCTCAGGGATATGGATTTTTTTTTTTTTTTTTTTTTTTTTTTTT